GCAGGTGATGGCGCAATTTGTTCTAAAAATAGAATTATTGTCCCATATCATGGGGACAACCCCAATACTTGAAATGGCGCGCGCTTACGGTCTCCGCCCCCGATTATGGCTCCTGATTTGGCCCAAAATTCTTGAGCAACTCTATCGAGGTGTAGAAGGCACCACAACAATAGTTTAGTTGGAGCATGACATAGGTTTCGTCCGTTCTTCTTGATACGCACTACTGAGCCATGATGTTTAATACAGATTTCGAAACCTATCGAGGCTTTATTCTGTGACTTCTTCCTAAAGAAAATCGACTCCATGGCGGACTTATGTCTCTGTTTCTTCTACATGTATGAATTAATTACTCATGATTGCCAGTGCAAAGTGTATTATACTGTAGTAATTTCTAACCACCTGAAATGCGTTTCTTGTTTGAAATGGTATCACAAAATAAATATCTCGTGGAAAATCGCTCTTTTATTTTATTAAAAAACCTTACAATAAAATGTGAAATAATCTGATACTACAGCAATAAATGTACGACTGTACATTTGCTTCAATCAAGCAGCTTGTCAGATGAATTTCTAGTAGTTTTAATTGCGTATCACATCAACATTTTCAGTACTAAACAACCTAATCTTTTCATCGTAACTTTATTCTAAAATGGAGTGAAAAAATTGTTGAAATTTTCGCTAAAATGCTTTTCACCGTAAATACTGCAAGCTTATTCTAAAAGATTGACTCTAAATAGTCCGCTTTTCCTTGAGATCACACGAGAATTCATATTACAATAGTATTTATCATTACTCGGGATTTTGCTTTTGCCACAAATGGATCAAATGCGGGGACTTCTCAGTATTCACATCCACATTCTTCGACGACCATATCATCAAACTTCTTCAGTACGGTGTGTCCATTCTTTTCAAAAACGAGAGCTGATATCGGCGCCAGTTTGGTTGGGACACAGCATGCCTCGTCATTAATTTCAATGCCTTTCTTTTGCTTTAGCAAGACCATGATTGCCGAGTGATTGGGAAACTTTTTCTGCTGTGTTGACGAACATTTGCCTTTGCACTTTGCCGTCAGGTGCGATGATCTCGTCAGAAAGACCAATATCCGCGAAGCTGACGTACATGCCAACTTTTCGGCAGGTATCAACATCGTGTTCTGCCTCTACTAAATGAAATTCGACGTCTGTCCAAGGTGCCTCTAGATCTTGTGTCTTTGGATCAAGGGACTCTGATATGGTCTTGTTCACTTCCAAGAACGGCGGTTCTTCTCTGTTCTCTGCTTATTTTTGCTCGATCACAAATGGAGTCACCAGGAGGAGCTGGGAGGCGAAAAGCGACAGAAAAGATACAGCATCGTCATAATGTTCACGACAAGTTTCTCTGATAGCGACTACTAAGTTGATTCTTCCAATATCACAACTAGAATGCTTTATAGACAATCTTACCCTCTTTATATACCACGGATCAGATCTTATCTTAAATAGTTTGAGCGCCAAACTAATTCTGCATATGTTAGATAATCTGATCTCAATCGAATTTAGTTACGGGGGTTTAAGACTTGAGATAAACTATTTTTGAACTATTCCTGCCTCCAGTGGAAATTGAATGTCAAGATATGTCATGTGTTGCAGTATGTTGCACGCGACCAACCAAGCTCTCAACTTTGTTTCATTTGTGTAATTTGCCGTTCATTTAGTCTCCTCAGCCACTAGCCGCCGATACTTGACCTAGTGTTTCTTTATGTAAGTAACGTTAAAGTAAAAGTTTGTAAACAGACTGAACTTTTATAAAGCAACTTATAATTATCATTCTATGCCCCCTCAGCGATTCATTCCTGACCATTCCTTTTTCTGGCATGACAAATGAATGAATCTTGTTGGATCCCTAGCAGAGATGATTACATTAGGGACACTCGACCTTTCAAATGGAACCAACGAATAATAATCAAACATATTAACAATGTCTTTATACTGCCAGAAAGGAAGTCATACAAGATGAGTGACAGAAGTTAACGGCGAGTCAGTGTTTTTCTATGGGTTTTACCAAAATGCTGCAGAAGTATTTATTTGTTTATCGCTTAATTCAAATGCTTGACTTTAGGTGTAAGAGTTTAAAACATAACGTAAGCGAAGAAGCACTATCTTTTTTTATGTTAGGATGAAAAATATCACTGTTATTTTCTTCAGGTGACCCTTTCTGAACCAAAAGATAAATCTATTTGGAAAAGCGAATGGTGTGGTGAAATGTTATTCTCTCACTGTACTAATCGTCAAAATGGTGTTTGCAGCCTTTTGAAGCCGCAGGCATGTAATGCATTGATTGAATCGGAAAGGAATACGCTTAGTGCGCAGGGGCCAAACTCTCTTAGGGGGGCCTTATACTTCATGGGGCAGAAAACTGTTTCAGGCTCTTATTTCCTCCAACCCATGTTTTTTATCAAGTGTTGAAAATTGTGATAACAATCCATACTTTCACGAGACCACTGAACTGTCGTGGTGTCAAAATCGGCCAAATGCAGCAACGTTCAGAATGAAATCACTAGAATTTAAAACGGTGCATGCACTCTTTATTTCTTACAAGAATATTGTTTTTCCGACCGAAGCTGAATTTTCTTATTATTATGCCGATTTTAGGCTGAAAATATTCTTGTGATTATTCTTAGATTACTGCGTATGACATTTCTGTTTTCGAATGTATTATTTTAGTGTCTGGATGGTATTAGAATAATTTTGGAGCCAGCCCACAGACATCAAAGCATTGAATATACGGTTGGTGCTGTTTTTGTTGCTTTTTGGCTAGTTTTGCCGTTTAGAGGAGGAAGGATTTTTACGGTTTAATTAAAAACATATAATTGTGTTGTATTAACAAATTTTCAAAATCTCAGCCTCGGGTTTATTCTTAGAATTTTCGATATTCTTGTTAAACATATTCTTAGAAAAGATATAGAGTGTAGTCCATTCGTCTGTTTTATTCCTTTTACCGAAATTTAAAAGAAAAGAATTAACAGAAACGTTAAAACGTAACTCTAAGAACCCTCTGTTGCTACTGTTTTGTTTGCGAACTTTAAGAAGTTTGAGACTTTTACCCCATAAACTGCCTAATGATCCTTACTTAACCCTCTTTCAAATTTTGACAGGGTCGGTTGTGGAGACTTTTCTCACTGTTCATCTAAGCTTGCCGTCAAACTCGCATGTTTTTACTCTTTAGTGCAGAAAGCAACAGTCCCATGTTAGAAAGGCTTACCAAGTAATTGGAGCCCATTGACCTTAGAAACAATTTCAGTAAAACAATAAGTCACTCAGGCTACCTAATTTAGATTTTTTTTTATTTGATTAGTCTCTTTATCGGCTGGGTGTTACTGCACCTGCCAAACCAAATCGCTAACTTTGCCAGCAGTTCTCTTCGTTGGCGTTGGTCAGAAAGTCAAGGACAATAAATAAACTATAAGTCATGTCAATCGCCAGATGTGTATCTGTCCGGGAGGCAAACGTCGAGTAAAAAAATCTTTCCTCTACATTTGTTACCTCCCGGACAATTTCAAGAAAGCAGAAATGTATGGAAAACAACTCGTTAATTATTAAGTCATCTAATGCGTCAGAAGAGATCTGGGTCCTGGGTTAGGATAGGGACTGATCCTGGCACTAAAATATTTCTTGACTTTCATTCGGATGAAATCAACTTTGCACGGTAGTGAGCTGTTGTAGGTTGACCAATAAAGTTGATAGACTTAAAAAAACGTAGTGGTATTTAAGAAACACGTTGACTTCTTTGCCTTTTCACCTTTTTACTCGCGAGAAAAAGCGGGTAATCCTGAGCGGGTAAGAGAGTTCCATCTTCCGCGCTTGCATTACAAATCACAGTGCAGGATTCGGTTCATCTTGCCCGCAAGCGATAGATCGCCTTTTACCAGCCTGGTCATGATTTATGTAATATAAGCATTAGCACAGTACTATCATTTTGGTGGAAGCTAAAATTTATCTGGAGTGATCGAAATACATGACAATTTTTTTCTACTACCTGCTTTTAGCCGAAAATCGCGCTGTGGGGCTGAAATACTGGATTATCTCTTGCATGGTTTGTTTTAGGATAGACAGAGAAATACCGGGAATAGGCCACATCTTCGCAAAGGTGGCTTAAATTTAAAGAAGTTTTCTCGTTTCCTGAGCATTAAACTGTGTGAACATAGGTCAAGTTTCTCAGGATAGAAATTTATTTTTGTCTGAAATTGCTTAGCAATTTTTCCGACGTGTAGAAGGTACAATAACAATAGCTTGGTTGGAGAATTTAACGTTTTAAGATGACACGACACTGAACGGCATGGCATGGGTATCGTCCTTTTTTCTTAATACGACCACTGAGCTAGGATATTCAATCCAGATTTCGAAACCGCACAGTTAGCAATTAATGAGGCTTTCCTCTGAAATTATTTTTTCGAAAGAAGACGGTCTCGTTGGCCGACTTATATCGTTTTTCTTCTATAAATTGATTGCTATTAACAATCACTGAAAGTGTATTAGTCATTTATAACCACCTAAAAAAGGGGTTCCTGTGTGAAATTCACAAAAAAATATTCCGTGGCAAACCCCTCTTTTATTTTATTAAAAGCCTTATTACATTGTGAAATAATCTGATACTACGGCAATAATGGCATGACTTTGCTTCGATCAAGCTATATGCCAAATGTTAAATGTCTAGTAGTGCTACTTCATCACATCAACATTTTCAGTTGGACTCATTTCATGCAAGCGTTATCCCAAAGGTAGACTGTGAAAATCGTTGAAATTTTCGCTAAAGTACTTTACACTCTGAGCAGTGTAAACTAATTCTTAAAGGTTGACTTGAAATAAAGGAAAGCTACGAAAAACCTCCAAAATTCTTTTCCTTGAGATCACGCGAGATTTCACGTTTTAATAGTGTTTATCATTTAAACTATTGTGTCCATCTTAGGATTTACTTCTGCCACAAATGGATCAAATGCGGGGACTTCTACCACATCCACATTCTTCAACGACCATGTCATCAAACTTCCTCAGTACGATGTGTCCATTCCTTTCATAAACGATAACTGATATCGGCGATAGTTTGGTTGGGACACAGCATGCCTCGTCATCACCTTCAATACCTTTCTTTTTCTCTAGCAAGGCCATAATTGCCGAGCGATTGGGAAATTTTTTCTGCTGTGTTGAGGAACACTTGCCTTTACACTGATAGGCATTGAAACCGTCAGGTGCGATGATCTCATTAGAAAGACCGAGCTCCGCGAAGCTGACGTACATGCCAACTTTTCGGCATGTACCAAAATCGTTTTCAGCCTCTTCCAAAGGAAATTCGACGTTTGTCCATGGTGCCTCAGTGGTCTTTGGGTCAGGGGACTCTGATATGGTCTTGTTCACTGGCAGGGACGGAGGTTCTTCTCTGTTCTCTACTTGTTTTTGCTCGATCACAAATGGAGTCACCAGGAGGAGGTGGGAGACAAAAAGCGAGAGAAACAGATATAGCATCGTCGTGATGTTCACGATAGGTTTCTCTGATGGTGACGACTAAGTTGGTTCTTTCAATATTACAACTTAAATGCTTTATAGACAATCTTGCCCTCTTTATATAGCCAAACTAATTCTGCCTATGTCACATAATATCTCAATCGAAGTTAGGTACGGGGGTCTAAGACAGATAAACTATTTTTGAACTATTCCTGCCTCCAGCGAATATTGAATGGCAAAATATGTCATGTGTTGAAATATATTGCACGCGACCAAGCAAGCTCTCAACTTAGTTTCATTTGTGCAATTTGCCTTTCTTGTACTCTCTTTACCCACTAGCCGCTAACGCTTGACCTGTTTTTTCTTTATGAGAGTAACGTTAAAGTAAAAGTTTGTAAACAGAACTTTTATAAAGCAACTTAATCATCATTCTATGCCCCCCTCAGCGATTCATTCCTGACTATTCCTTCTTCTGGCATGACAAGAGAATGAATCTTGTTGGATCCCTAGCAGAGATGATTGCATTACGGACATTCGACCTTTCAAATGGGACCAACGAAAACAATCAAACATATTAACAATGTCTTTATGCTGCCAGAAAGGAAGTCATACAAGATGACTGACAGAAGTTAACGAAGAGTCAGTGTTTTTGAATGGGTCTTACCAAATACTGCATTGTACATGTAGATATGGGTCGATCTTTTTCCTATGACGGCGGTCCAATCATGTCATTCCGGTATAAAAGTTAGTGAAATTCATCTAAGCGGCCGTTTATTGATTTAACCGCGCCAAATCAGTCACAGTTGAAATGTAGAAAATTACGGTATGAAGCCGGAGAATTTGGCTACATCACATGTGCGACGCCATTATGACTTGGGAAATCGAGCGTGTTTTTCCCGACTTCATCGTTTTTGCGACTTCGTAACTTGTTGTTGTCTGTTTTTATATTCTTTATAATTATTGCCGAAAGTATTTATTTGTTTATTGCTTAATTCAAATGCTTGACTCGACCGTTTGCGAAAACAGTACTTTAAATGTAAGAATTTAAAACATCAACGTTAACGAAGAAGCATCTTTTCTTATTTTAGGATCAAATATATAACTGTTATTTTCTTCAGGTGACCTTTTCTGAACCCGCAAAAGATTAATTTATTTGGAAAAGCGAATGGTTAAATAAAATGTTATTCTCACACAGTACTAATCGTCAAAATCGTGTTTGCATCCTTTTGAAGCCGTCGGCATGTAATTTCTTGATTGAATCGGACAGGATTACGCTTAGCACGCGGGGCCCAAACTCTCTTAGGGGGCCTTAAACGTCATGGGGCACAAAACTGTTTCAGGCTCTTATTTCCTCCAACCAATGGTTTTTATGAAGCGTTGAAAATTGTGATAATTAAGAATCCATACTTTCACGAGATCATACTTCACTGCGATCACTGAACGGTTGTAGTGTCAAAATCGGGCAAATGCAGCAACGTTCAGAATGAAATCACTAGAATTTAAAACGGTGCACTCTTTGTTTTTTTTACAAGAATATTGTTTTTCCGATCGAGGCTGAATATTCTTACTTTTATGCCGATTTTGGGCTAAAAATATTCTGTGATTATTCTTAGATTACTGCGTATGACATTTCTATTTTCGAATGTATTTAGTGTCTGGATGGTATTAGAGTAATTTTGGAGCCAGCCCACAAGCATCAAAGCATCGAATTTACGGTTGGTGCTGTTTTTGTTGCCTTTTGGCTAGTTTTGCCGTTTAGAGAAGGAAAGATTTTACGCGGTTTAATTAAAAGCATATAATTCTGTTGGTACTGTTTTGTTTGGGGACTTCACTAAGGACACTGTCACCATTTTTAGCGTGATTTTGGAAATCTCAAAAACATATATCGATCTTTGGAAGTTGAACAATAATGGCTCTATTTTGTATAGCAGTACTAATGATATGGGTTTTTGAAAAAGCGTCAGGATGTAGTTTTTCAAAGGTTCAAGTTTGGCTCGAAAATCGTTGAAAGTTTGTAAAAATGTTGCTGCAGTGTGGACGTTCTTCAAGAAATTGCTTTTAATCATTTAGTTACAGCTAATTAACTTCTCATTACAACAATACATAGGGACCATTGCGCGATTTACAACAGTTTTGAGCAAATATATCGTGACAGTGTGTTTATTTAAGCAATATATCGTGACAGGAGGCAGCATGGCCGAGTGGTTAGAGCGCCGCAGGTCCCGGGTTCAATCACGTTCTGACCGATAGCTGATGTTGTTCTCGGTAGCCCCGAGTTCAACTTCGATTCTTGGCTGCGCTTGTGAATAGCCAACTGGTCTGCCTCCCGCCAGTTGAGATTCTTAACCTAGTTATGTTTATTTGAATATTTATTTGTCATTGTTTGTTTACATTGGTCCTGAAAAGCCCCAATGTGGAGTGCCCAATGAAGTATACAGTATGCATACATTTTAAGAAGTTTGACCTTTTTATCCCATGAACTGCTAAAGATCCTCGCTTAAACTGCCTTCAAATTTTGACAAGGCCGGTTATGAAGGCTTTTCTCACTGTTCATCTAAACTTTCCGTCAAACTCGGAGGAATGTTTTTACTCTTTAGCGCAGAAAGCAACAGTCCCATGTTAGAACGTTTTACCAAGTAATTGAAGCCCTTTGACCTTAAAAACAATTTCAGTGAAACAATAAGTCACTCAGGCTACCTAATTTAGATTTTTTTTTTTTTAATCTGATTACTCTCTTTATCTACTCGGTGTTACTGCACCTGCCAAACCAAATCGCTAACTTTGCCAGCAGTTCTCTTCGTTGGCGTTGGTCAGAAATTCAAGGACAATAAATAAACTAAGTCATGTCAATCGCCAGATGTGGATCTGTCCGGGAGGCAAATGTCGAGTAAAAAAATCTTTCCTCTACATTTGTTACCTCCCGGACGTTTTCAAGAAGGCAAAAATGTATGGAAAACAACTCGTTAATTATTAAGTCATCTAATGCGTCAGAAGAGATTAAAAAACGTAATGGTATTTAAGAAACACGTTGACCTCTTTGCTATCACAATGTCTTCCTAACTAAGAACTGCATTAACATACAAATGAATGCCCATGAGGGTTTTATCTTACGGATGTTTTAGACTTCGGCTGATTATTAGTTCAGGTGACGTTAAAACGTAGAAGTTAAAAGTTTTTAATGAACACCAGTTTAAGAATTTCTTCTGTTTTTGCAGATATTTTAATGTTTCTTTGAATAAAATTGTGTTCAAAATAATACTGTGCATTAAGAGGAGTCAGGATTGGCTGAACTTAATACACATTCGTTGTTCTTCTCGTCTGAGCAGTAAAATCAATATGGGTTCCCTTGGACTGAGAAGCAGTGGAGGTCCAGAAAAATGAGAAAAATATGAACGTGTGCAATATCCAGCCATCTTCACCCAATGACTAAGGTTGCCTTGGTGGGTTTTTGGAGGTCTCCTCGCCGCATCGAAAATTTTTGTTATTGTATCTGTTTTTTATATAGTTGTTTTCTACGATGTGGCAAATGATAAATAAATAATTGATTATGACGAGGAGGAACTAATAATAATATAAATAATAATAATGTAATAATGTAATAATAATATTAATAATATAGCAAATGAAGAAACGCGTTTTTACTCGCGTGAAAAAGCGGCTAATACCGAGCGGGCAAGAGAGTTCCATCTTCCGCGTTTGGATTGCAAATCACAGTGCACTGAGTCGGTTCATCTTGCCCGCAAGCGATGGATGGTCATGGATCGCCTTTTACCAGCCTGGTCATGATTTATGTAAGCAAACGCACAGTACTAGCATTTTGGTGGAAGCTGAGATTTATCCGGATTGATAGAAAGACATGACAATTGTTTATGCTACATGTTTTAGCACAAAATCGAGCTGTGTGGCTGAAATAACAACTTCTCTCTCGCCCGTTTTGTTTAAAGTACACAGAGATGTACAGGAGTAAGTGAAATCATTGGAAGGGTGGCATAAATTTCAAGAAGTTTCCTTATCTCCAAACCGTAAAACTGTGTAAACATAGGTTTTAAAACGTCTCTCAGGATTGCAAGTTACTTTGTCCGAAATTCCTTAGAAATTTTACCGATGTCTAGAAGGCACAACAACAATAGCTTGGTTGGAGAATTTAACGCTTAAGATGACACGAAAAAGAATAGCATGGCATGGGTTTCAGTCGTCCGTTCTTCTTGATACGTACCACTGAGCCATGATATTTCATCCAAATTTCGAAACCGTCCAGTTGGCACTCATTGAGGCTTTCTTCTGGGGTTTTTTTTCAAAAGAAAATCGTCTCCTTGGCCGACTCATGTGTCTGTTTTTTAGCAATTACATGTAAAAATTGATTGCTATTGCCAATGCAAAGTGTCTTACACTGTAGTTATTTCTGACCACATGAAATGCGTTTCCTGTGTGAAATATTATCACAAAAACATATCTCGTGGCAAATCCCTCTTTTATTTGAATAAAAAGCCTTACTATAATGTGAAATATTCTGATACTACAGCATTACATGTAAATGCATGACTTTACGTTTGCTTCGATCAAGCTTTGTCGGATGAATATCTAGTAGTTTTACGTATCACATACACATTTTCAGAACCAATCGACCTAATAATTTTATCCAAACGTTATTCCAAAAATTGACTGAAAAAATTGTTGAAATTTTCGCTAAAATACTTTTCACCGTGAACACTGCAAGCTAATTCTTAAAGATTGACTCCAAATAAGAGAAAGTTACAAAAACGCTAAGAGTCCGCTTTTCCTTGAGATGACATTAGAATTCATATTATAATAATGTCTATCATTACTTGGGATTTTACTTTAGCCACAAATGGATTAAATGCGGCGACTTCTACTCACATCCACATTCTTCGACGACAAGGTCATCAAACTTTTTCAGTACGATGTGTCCATTCTTTTCTAAAACGAGGGCTGATATCGGCGCCAGTTTGGTTGGGACACAGCACGCCTCGTCATCAATTTCAATGCCTTTCTTTTTCTCTAGCAAGGCCATGACTGTCGAGCGATTGGGAAACTTCTTCCGTTGTGTTGAGGAACATTTGCCTTTGCACTGAAAGGCATCGAAGCCCCAAGGTGTGATGATCTCATCAGAAAGAGCAAGCTCCGCGAAGCTGACGTACATGCCAACTTTTCGGCAGGTATCAACATCGTGTTCAGCCTCTTCTAAAGGAAATTCGACGTCTGTCCATGGTGCCTCAGTGGTCTTTGGGTCAGGGGACTCTGATATGGTCTTGTTCATTTCCAAGAACGGAGGTTCTTCTCTGTTCTCTACTTGTTCTTTCTCGATCACAAATGGAGTCACCAGGACGAGCTGTAAGGCGAAAAGCGACAGAAGCAGATACAGCATCGTCATGATGTTCACGATAAGTTTCTCTGATGGCGACGACTAAGTTAATTCTTCCAATATCACAACTAAACTGCCTTAAAAACAATCGTGCTCTCTTTATATAGCACGGACCCTTTCTAATCCTTAATAATTTGAGCGCGACACTAACTGTGCATATGTTAGATAATCTGATCTCAACTGATCGAATTTAGTTACGGGGGTCTAAAACAGATAAACTATTTTGAACTATTCCTGCCTCCAGTGGGAATTGAATGCCAAAATATGTCATGTGTTGAAATATATTGCACGCGACCAAGCAAGCTCTCAACTTTGTTTCATTTGTGAATTTGCCTTTCATGTAGTCTCTTTACCCAATAGCCGCTGACGCTCGACCTTGTTGTTTCTTTATGAGAGTAACGTTAAAGTAAAAGTTTGTAAACAGAACTTTTGTAAGGCAACTTAATCATCATTCTATGCCCCCTCAGCGATTCATTCCGGACTATTCCTTTTTCTGGCATGACAATTGAATGAATCTTGTTGGATCCCTAGCAGAGATGATTACATTACGGACATTCGACCTTTCAAATGGGACCAACGAAAACAATCAAACATATTAACAATGTCTTTATGCTGCCAGAAAGGAAGTCATACAAGATGACTGACAGAAGTTAACGGCGAGTTAGTGTTAACCAGAATACTACAGTGTAGAAATGAGTTGATCTTTTTCCTATAAAGTAGGCTAATCATGTTATTCCGGAATAAAAGTTAATGAAATTCATCTAAGCAGCCGTTTAATTGTTTTAACCTTCCCAAATCAGCCATAGCTGAAGAGTCGGTAGAAAATTGCGATGTGAAGTCTACATTAAATGTGTGAAGCCTTTATGACTTGGGAAATCGAGCATATTTTTCCTGACTTCATCGTTTTTGCGACTTCATATCTTGTTTTTGTTTATATGAGTTACTATTTTTGCCCAAAGTACATGCTTGATTCAACGGTTTGCGAAACGGTTCTTTAAATGTAAGAGTTTTAAAAAAACCAACTTGAGCGAAGAAGCATGCATCTTTTCTTATCTTAGGATAAAAAATATCGGTGTTATTTTGTTCAGGTGACCTATTCTTAACGAAAAGATTAGTTTATTTGGAAAAGTGAATGGCGAGGTGAAATGTTATTCTCTCACTGTACTAATCGTCAAAATGGTTCTGTCAGCAAGTAAAATCTTTTTATTCCGGTTCCGATGGTTTGCCCCGGAAGGTCGGATACATGTAGTTTTGGTTAACGTAACAATTTTGATCTCTGGTTACGGTTTATTTCACCATTGAATGAAGTTTTTATAGCAAACTTATTCTTGGTGGGGATTGAAAAGTCACGTTGGAAGCCATTTACAAAGGTGGCGGTATTCCATCCTGTTGGCAGTAAAGAATCCAAATGGGAGGTTTTACGCTTACCAATTCAACGCACTTAAAATGAAATCAAGATTTGATTACCTGCTTATTGCAAAGTTGTTGGGTCACCTTGTCCCTGTGGCTGATATCAAGATTTCTATCGCTCCTTATCACAGAGCGGTGAGGTTGGGTGTGAAAATGTCCAAAATTAGCGCAAAGAAAAACGATAGGTGGGCAACCCATTGGGTCAACAGTCGGCACTCGAAGTTGCATAAATTCCACAAAGACGGTGTCGCTGAAATTGCCCCACGACAGTCGTTGATAGCTCTCCCTTCTATTTGCTACTTCTATGATTCCAAGGTTTATCGTAAACCTAGAACTCGAAAACGAACCTCTCTTCTGGTGGTTGAGATAAATCATGGAACCTGAGAGGAGCAAATATGTTTATTTGCTACAATTGTTGATAAAAATACCCCAGAAGGCAAATTTAGTGTTGAAGAATATCGTCAGATAGGGAAGACGGTTTTAATCACTGAGCTTTGTGTTCAGTTCTTTGAGTTTCTTGCGTCAGACTAGCTTGAGTGCAAGTCGTATTGCAGCTTATTTCCACGAGAAATTGCCTATATCTCAGTGAAGAGCAGTTGTTACAGTGATCCTGAAAGACGACTCCAATCTCGATGGCACTCAAGTACTTTATCAAACCTGGGTTACAAGATTGCTCCATAGCATCAAGAATTAAAAGTCCTCCCATTTTAAATTTTCGTCTAATAAAGTCAGCGTTGTAGTTGTTTTTGTGAAAAACACGTACAACTCTGACTTTATTAGACGAAACATTTACCGAGCTCCTGCAGCTGACGCTACCAACAGGAACCCAACACCTGTTACAACGGTGACTAAACCTTACATTAAGGGCACTTCTGAGACCATCTTACGTATCCTACAGCCCTACAACATTCGTGTAGCCCACAAACCGACAACTACATTTCGACACTCACTGACCAACGTGAAAGACAGGGACGAACCTAAAAACAGACAGGAAGCAGTTTACAAGATCAAATGCTCCGACTGCCAGGCTTCCTCCATTGGTGAGACTGGCAGAAACCTTAACACGAGACTGACTGAACACAACTTGAACGAGCCACGAGAAATGGTGATGCCAACAATCATATTGCTGTACATCATCAACTGACAAACCCCAACATTGACTGGGACTCTGCTTAGTGCTTAACCTCCCGAGCGGGGAGCGGAGGGGGAGGGTACTGCCATATATGGGCTATATAGGTATGTGCCGCTGTGAAGGGTATGGTTTTCAAGCAGTTTACTCTAGGATAGGGTATATAAATCAGAGCGTTTGGGTCTAGAATAGGGTATCATTTTCACAAAATTGACTAAGGAAACCAGGAATTACCACTCAAAAATGTAAAACAAAAAAAAAAATCAAATCGGCAAGTTTAAATTTACGCAATTCAGCCTCTACAGTGTCGATAGATCGGGAGGTTTGCGGAGTTTACTCTAGTATAGGGTAGCAAAATTCAGCTGAGCTATAGTAGCTCTGGTATAGGTTAAGGGTTGCAGGGTCCCAGCGGCACATCCCCACCCAGAAATTCCCAAACCGCTACAGTACTAACTATTTTCAACGACTGACTCTGGAAAGGTGGTACACTAACCTAGAACAAATGCCTCTTAACATATGCAAACAACTACCGGCGCCTTACAAACGACTTATCCACGACAGAAACGAAACCGACAAAAGGACCTCTAACAGACCGACTTAATTTGACTAACAATACACGGACCAAAAACCGACCAATTTGGTTAACAATAGACGGATCGAAACCCACCAATGACTGATGACAAACTTTACACGAGTCTTTATGCCAATTCCACCATAGCTAAACTGACCAATCACGTTCAACGGACCAGACTTAGAACATCATCGACTGACAAACACCATTCACTTGACTCTGAGGATGACTTCCGCTCAGGTTTCGATACGTCAGTCACCAACAACAGTTCTTTTCAGAACTACCCTCACCCGGTCGATCACACTATACGAACTACTGATACCCCTGGGCTCAAACCATTTACTATATTTAGAAAGCTTATGACACACTGTTAAGTGGCCAGTTATTTTGCAAGTCTTGTCCAGGTTTAACTTTGGCGATATCATATACCTTTGGGTCTGAACTTTCTACTGTGACGCAGATAGCTCTATTCTTAACAATAGCCGTACCACAAAACAAATGAGGCCTTTACAAGTGAACGGTTTGCTTTGTTTAAGGCTTTTTGAAGTAATACAGAAAAACCCCTATTAAACGGCCACCCACGGGGAAATGGATAACGGCCCTTTACAAGGTGCTGGGGCCCGTTTCTCGAAGGTCCCGAAACGTTTTCGCGCCCGGAAGGCCGTAGCAACATCTCAAACCTTATGATTACAGAGCAGTTTTCGTTACTTAGCTCTTATTAACCGAGCTTAGTCGGTCTGTATGGGAGAATCTTGACCGAGGTCGCGAGTACAGACCGAACTCATGATCAGTGAGGTCTGTACACGCGACCTCGGTCAAGATTCTCCCATACAGACCGACTAAGCTCGGTTTATAAGATGTTTATTATATGGCGCAAACAAGAACAATTTAATTCGTTTAATGTAACGAACGGCAGTGAGCCGAATTTAATTCTGCCAAAGTTTGCTCGTCCTTTTTACTTTTCTTTTTTTTTTTCATCAGGTTTTTTGGCTCTTCCATAAAAAAATATTGTTACATAAAAAATAGTCAATGATTTTGCATTTTAATTTGCAACTTTTTCACTGCAAAACATTACCGGTCTAGATGGGAAAATCTAGACCACTTTCAATATCGATTTCAGCCAATCAAATTCGTGAATTTGGTAGTTTCCATTTCTTGTGAGACAGGGCCATATAATAAATATTCTTAATATGACCAGATGTTCTCTTCATACAAGAAGTTTCAGGTGTATACACTTTTCTGTTTTTAGATACAGAAAAACTGCAAATAACTTTGCAGGCCCGAAAAGTTCGGGTCTTTCGAGAAACAGGCCCCTGGCCGCTGAATAGAGGTAAAACAATAGATGAGTCCTCATCGGGACTTTGATTTCTGGCCGCCTGATAGGAGTGGCCGTTTAAATAGGTGGCCGCTTAATAAGGGTTCGACTGTATAAAATATATCCTATTGAGCTGCAGTGAACAATATATTAATAATTTATTCGCTGGTATGCCAAAATAAAGTAGATTTTACGAATGAAAAAAATTCGCAGCGATGAAATGTTAGTAAAGTGATGTCTACATGTGAGGTCCCGTCCACACTACGCCGGAGAAATTTGGAAACGGCGTTTTCACCCTGAAAACGCATCAAATGTTTTCCGTCCACACTACGCCGGAGAAATTTGAAAACGGAGGTTTCACTCTGTAAACGCATCAAGTGTTTTCCGTCCACACTACGCCGTATAAATTTGAAAACGGAGGTTTCACTCTGAAAACGCATCAAATGTTTCTCCGTCCACACTACGCCGGAGAAATTTGAAATCGCAATAATCATAGGTCATTTTGGACTTGTGTTTGAGGTAAACTCAGACAGGGAAATCACACGATCATCGTAATGTCATCGTTTTCGAAAAACTCCATTTTC